AGTGGGTGGAGAAGGGTCCACACCAAATAACAGAATTACATTTGAAGAAATATTTTGGCTAGCAGAGATAGAAGGGGAGTATTCTCTATGCTAAGAACTTTCTATGCAGCACCGCCCTGTGATTCAGGATTCACAAGCAGTGCTTACATGCAAACTGCAAAAAGGTGGCAACATCCTTGCATTTATGAGTCCTACAGAATTCTCTCATCATGCATAGCTCACAAGTATGGTGTTTGTTTGGATTAGTGTAACATGAGAGGACAAAATAAACATGATTGGAAAAGGTCTCTTGTTGCAAATGTGATTGAACAGGCCCTAATCTGAAAAACTCTTGCAAGGTATACTGTAAAATTTGAGGAAATCTTGCGTGTTATGTATCTGTACTCAATTTTCAGCTTTTTGAAAAGACAGATGGCTTGGGCTGGATACCAAAGAAAATAATGTATTACAAAAGAATAACAAAGTGCTGTGCTATTTATCAATTTTCACTTCTGTGTAGACATTCAGTTTGACAGTGGTCACATGAAGACAACATTAGCCTCAGACAAATCAGTCAGATCAATACACACAAAAACTATTTTACTGTATCATTCTACAATAGGTCAAAGAAATATGTGGATTTATTCTGTACGTTTTCTCAAATGTATGCTTTGCAAAGTTAGACCAATCCACTGCCAAGAGACACTTGCTGTCTCTCCTATAAAGCATTAAGGGATTATATTAATGTATGTTCGAGTGTGTGGACATCAATAGATTGCAGAAAGCATGTGTACCTTTAGGGCACAATACTGATATCTTGTGATCTTGTGATTCCTGTTACTGTAGCGGTCCAGTGGGGTGAACACGATGCTGAAAGGGCCGGCCCACTGACTGAAGAGGAGGAAGAGGTGATGTCGCAGGCTCTGCTGTGGAAACAGAAAGCGCCTGTGGTGCACTGAGGAGGAAGATAAGTACGCCTGTTAAAGGTTTGCTCATTGAGAGGGTGAAGAGCCATAAAAAATAATGAATAATTATATGATGACAAGGTGCTGATGTCCCTTGACAAATCACTGGCAATTCGGTGGGCACTTGTAAATGCTTGGTAACCAGTGATTCATAATCTGTCCTTTCCTGCTTTGTCCATAAGCTGTACTATTTTTGGATCTACTCCCCTTGTACTGCGGTTAAATCAAGATCAAGTGACAAGACTATTGTGTTCCATGTGCTGTGCTGACCCCAGCCAACTGGACGCCAATTATATAATTCACACACCGCAAATGGAGGAATAAGATTAGGCATTTATATTAAAAATTTGGAACATCTACAGTCTTTACTCAGTTATGTATCACTCTGACCTGCAGACAAGAAAGTATGTAAGCTACAGAAAAGAATCTCTTTTCACTACCTGGTACACACTGGATGAGGTTGGCCACCATGGCACTGAAGTGAGCTCGGATATCCTTGAGGATTTCTGCATCTTTGTCATTCTCAGCTTCCAGAAGCATACGGGTCATATCCACATACTCCAGGAACAGTGTGCCAAGGGCGAGGGTGTCACGTTCCAAAGCTCCATTTGTACTGTGGAAACATTAAAGAAAACAGAGAGACGCCCAGTGAAAGGAAGTCACAAACTAAACAGTATGTAGCAGTAGCAATTTAACTTTTTAAAGCAGCTGTCAAAATCCACAATGTACTGTATCACAGCCACTAATTATAATGGTATCAGGTTATTATACAGCAGAAAGTTGATGTTCAATAAGTCCTGATGACCCTTCCTTGTTGTTGAGTACCCTGAGTATGATAATGTGCAGTGTGTGGCTGTGAAATGTCGGCTAATACCACACTAACCTGTCACTGATGACTCCTGCATCAGCCAGCAGCTCAAAGATCCGTAGCAGCTGCAGTCTCAGCAGGTCTCGCCGCTCACGCTTCTTCTTGTTCTACAGAGAGTCATTAAGCCAAATCTTTAATAGCAGAAGTCCTGGTAATGATATTATCAATCCATATTTACTGACAAAGATTTTCTGATACAGTGGTTAGGGCTACATCATTTTTTGTACATTTTGCTTATGTCATGTACTGTACAGCAAATATGATCAACAAACCTCAGCTCTTCTTTCTAATGCCTCTTTCATTAGAGGATGTAACTCCTCCATAAGTTCCCTGTGTAAAGACAATGAGAATATAAACTTATACTTATGAGGTTAAATATAAACTGTTATATCAAATAGCTCATGTAAACTTTCAATTAAGTGATAAATTAGATTCAAAATTGGTTTGTTAAGACAATAAAAGTGATTCTGAGCAGAACATCTAAAACACCAATCTTTCATATACCTGAATATAAGTGAATTTGTGCGACCAAAGCCCAGAACTAATGACTCTGTCAACTCGATGTTCTCTGCCCTCATCAGTGGAACCAACTGCTTTAGAAGCCAAGTCACAGATGGGCTCCCGATAACCTAAAACATCAAACACCAGTGGTTCAGTCAGACAAATAAACCTCTCATGCTGCTTTAACGCCACTAATTAGACATGGCTATATTGTGGTAAGTGCCAGTACAGTTAAGAATACATCAGTTTCCTATTCCATTCATTTAAATGTAACTGCTTTGTAATTTGATGCTTTGAGTTTCAATGTCAAAAAGCTCTGTATGAACACCGGATCCTGGAGAGACAAAAGACAGGCCAGCAGATACCTTGTTATCGTAGCCGACACCACTGTCAGGGGTCAGGTGGCTGGGGCTTATGATACTGGGCTTGGCCACCCCAAAGCAAAGGATCAGGTAGTTTCTCCACAAGGTTATGTAATTGTCCCCATTGCCAGAGGTGCCGGTCTTCTTTGCATACACTGGGTTACTGGTGAAGTATATAAAAAGGATATATAAATAGATCTCTATTTTCTATCTTTATTTTTATTTGAGCTGTTTTTAACAGGGTCGCTCGGGGAGGAGTGTTTAAATGCAACAGGGAACTGGTATGAGCTGCCTATACTTAAGACGGAAACACAGAATAGGGATGTAAAAAGATAAGAAACAGAAGTGCCTCATGGTACCTTGTAAACTGTGTTTGAAGAGACTTACTTTGGGTCTACCAGGGGCATGAGGGTCTGCATTCGAGTGAAGGCATAGGACCAGGCATAGCTGAGGGCTGTGGGGCAGTGCTTGGGCAGATTGTCCTGTCGGAGGAGGCTGTATACACACAAGACCCATGGGTCTTTCACAGACTGGGCAAAGATCCACACGTGTGAGGGGCTCCTAATGTCGTAATGACTGTTGACGAGCAGCGCGCTCCACTCCACAAGCCACTGAAGGTCTACGTGGTGACGAGCTGGCAGTGCCGCCTGCAAACAAGCAATTGGCAGGAGTCAAGACAGAATTAAATATCCATCTAGACAGAACTCAGAGAGTGTAAACGTCCTCCATGACAGCTCAATTTGTCCATAATACCATTACACCTAAAAGGAATATTCCCATGACAGTCTGACCCTCATATGAGCTGTGTGTCTGTCTGTTTGAACGAGTGCAGGGCTTAGCTACACACATAAGGTGCAGGGCAGACAAGAGGATGAAACCTGTGCCTTGATTGCATTCACATACAGTAACAGCCTTCCTATAGGGTTGTGCAGAGATGTGGCTGTGTTTATTTTATGTGTGTGTGTGTGATTTAGAACTTAGCCAAAAAAACAGTCAGAAAATAACGTTTTATTTTGGTGATTCACTGCTTTGTTTTGCCAACACTGCTCTCTCTCTTCATTACCAACAGCTGTTCAATCAGTTTTTACATCTTAGATAACTAAACTGAACTTCTGTCTTACAAGCAACATAAGCATGTGCTGTTTTGTAAACCAGGTTCTACATGTGGTTTGATGACACGTGATCTTTTCTTGAAAGCAACTTACATTTCTGAATTTGATCTAACTAACAAGCTTCTCACTTTTCTATCTGGAAGTAAAGTGATGTGAAATTAACACAGTCTGAATAAACTGGAGGAAAGATTTCTAGGAGTCAAATAAACTGCTGACACATCTTGGGGTTTAGTTTGGAGTTGAGCCACAAAGTGAAGCTACAAACAACTTACTGTGTCAGAGACTGCAATGTTGACAAAACATTCCAGGATTCCAGGGCTGAGCTGGTCCATAATCTCTATCATTGGTTTGTCATCATCCTGCAGTTGCATAAAATCACAGTCTGTACATTAAAATATCAGTTAGTACTACATTATAATCACTTCAGTTTAGCTCTTTCTTGTTTTACCTCAGACTGTCCAGTGGTGATAAAGATACTTCGTATCTCTCTGAGGATAGAGATAGCAACTCTGCGAGTACTCAGCTGACAAGAGCAGAGCACTACAAGCGCCAGGCCCTCAACAGCATGCAGTGCAATAGAGTAAAGACTTCGCTCTGCAGATGTGTTGAGACTTGAACTGGTCTGAAGCAGCTGTGGCATAAACATCAAAATAAAACAAAAGCTGATTTCACAGCTGCATGATCAAAATTACACTTCATTACATTAGATTTCTACGAATGGCCTTTGTCACAAGAGTTACAGCAAGTGTTAGCATTAGCAATCATTAGAGCAAAAAAAAAAAAAGATTCAAATGATCGCTGCTTGTTAAATGCAAGACAATACGTCATGACTGACACACAGGTGTGTACCTCGGCAGTGTCTGTCTTAGCAGTGTCACAGCTCTTCCCTGAGGCAGTCTGGGTTAATTTCCACTGGGTGAGCAGTTGCAGCAGTAACCTGAGGGATGTATCTAACAATCCTTGATGGGTGTCCTGGACCTCACGTAACAGGAAGTTAGTGAATCCAAACAGCACATTGTCACGCCAGTCAGAGAAATCTACCAGCAGACTTTGCAAGGAATTCTGGGCTATGAGTCGAAGCTCGTCATCCATGTGGATTGTCAATCTGACAAATGAAGAAAATATAAACAAAAAAATGACCTAGGTATTTTTATAGAAATACATGTAAAAAGGTATTTTATAACAGTGTGGGGGTTTGATTTCTGATCCATTTAGGCTGCAAACTACAGTATTATCATGTGGATTTTATGGTATATTTTTCATAATAATATTAGAGTGGGCTCTAAATAAAACAGGCTGAAAACAAACTGGGGTAACAATAAATTACATTATTATATACATTTCTACTTAATTACAGTTCAGCCAGACTGGTCTTCCTTGTTAAAGTGACTTCTCCAAGACAGGTGACTTACCGAGAAAGCAGGTCTATGAGCTCTGCTTTGGACATCCCGTCGGGCAGGATGCGAGGAATGGCAGCCACACATGTCCTAAACAAGTCGATCTTGGGCTTCCTTTCACCTCTGAAAAGGCCAGACTATAGGTTTAACTGCAAACTCTTTTAAATAGCCAACTGTAAACTGACGCATTGATGACTGGATTAGAACCACATTCAACACTTCGAAACTGCAGAGGCATTCAGGATTTTTGCCAGCTAGGGTGACTGAGAGAAGCGCACACATACGTGATCATGTCTTCAGGCTCTTTGTTCAGCATCTGAGCATTAGTCATCATCATGCAGCGTCCCACCTCCTTGTCTAGTTGTCTGAGGATGTTGTCAAGAGCCTTCCGCACATGAAAATAATACTGTGACATCCCTGGTGAAAATGACAGAGGAAAAAACAGATGCTTATTTGCAAATGTCCATCTAAATGTAAATTTGATGTCAAAGCTTTCAGTAAGCAAGTCTGCAAAAACAGGACATTTTTAGCATTTCACTCACCAATGACTTTGGCCTCCTCATCTGTCAGTGTTTTGCTCAGGTACGTCTTCTTCACTCGAAGTGTATTTCCAGAGGGCAAATTGCAACCGGTGGTAGGCATGGGTGGTTCGCCGTCCTTTTGCTGCAGTTTATTGGCTATGACCAGGAATGCTCTCAGCCCAATATTCATTCTCTGAAAAGAAAAAAAACTTTTTTTTAATCAATATGAAACTTTAATGACAAACTTAAACACTTTATCAACAGAAAGAATCAACTGCACCATCAGTTACTACAGCTACAGGAAGGCATGTAGTAACAACACTAGGTTAGAGCACATTTCCAATAGTTTTGCTGCAGTACAGGTAAGTGAAATGCTGTGACACAAAGCTCTTTGTCCTGTAGACATATATAGTGGCAGCCCATGACCTGCTGTGACCACTGCTCCCTCAGACATTCAGATGATGTGTCAAATGTGTTGACAAACACTACTGTATGTTCAGGATTTTACATTTACTCTTTAAGAGGTATAAATCTGTAAGGAGCAAAAATAAGTTTCATTTTCCTACTTCCACAGAATTTAATTTTGATCAGGGTAAAAGGGAAAAAAGACTTGTTTTACATTTTTCTAGAAGGACAAAATATAAGTAAATGTCAAATTCACGCACTACCTCTGGATTAAGACTGAAGGCTTTTGCAGGTTTTGCAACACCAAGAAGGTCAAAGATAATTTCTTTCATGGCATAGTCAAGTTTCTCCTGTAACAAAGTAAGAAGAAAAAATGTTTAATGTTGTGAAGGTCAGAAAGTACCATTTTACTAGTTTTAATGAGACATCATATCTGGGTCTTAAGTGAGAGTTACATGAAATGCAATTTGTGTGATAAAGTGGCTTCTCTATAGTGCAAAATATCATGATTGCTTTTACCTGTGCGATAAACTGGATGATTTTGACAAAGATATTGAGAGGCATGTCTCTTGGAACCACACTTCGAGATCCTTTTGGGAAAAGTGTTGTTACAATGGTGTTGAGGCGACTGGACACAGAGGAAAAAAGGTTACAGGCATTCCTTCAACAAATATATAAATACTGTAGTAGTAAATGTTGTATAAAATTGTTTTGTATAGTACTGCATTGAACAGACTTTTATTTTAAGACGAGTTTGTAATGGATTTATTTAACACAGTTAAAAACTTTGACCTGGTTTTCCCTTAAATCTAGAAATATTTTCACAAATATTTTTAGTACCAACTAAAGTGTTTCAACCCACGACCTTCATCAGCATGTGACAGGTAGTTACTAGAAAGTCACTTTCGGCTTTTCCCGTTTTAGGGGTCGCCACAGCGAATCGTCACACTGACAACTCGCATGTTGACATTTAGCAACGTGTTTTATGCCGGATGCCCTTCCTGACGCAACCCTGATTCAAACCTGGGCCGCAGCGGCGAGAGTGCTGCGCCTTAACCATTAGCCTACGTTACTGATATGAAAAAAAAAAACTTTAAGTTTGGTTGTTACAGCAACCAAATAGGACAGGAACAATCTCCAGTCAGGACTGCTGAAAGAACCACTGGTGCCAGCCTGCCCTCCATGGAGGACCTGTACACCTCGTGGATCAAAAGGAGGGCAGAGAAGATTTCTGCAGACCCCTCACACCCCGGACATGACCTATTTGAACTCCTTCCCTCTTGACGGCATTACAGGTCACTGTGCGCCAAAACATCCAGACACTAGGACAGTTTCTTCCCCCGGGCCATCACCGTGATGAACACTTAACCCATGACTGTATAACAGAACGACAACCCTCAATGCAATAACTTGTCAATACACTTTTGTATATATCCATTTGAAAAGCTCCATATAAACTGGGTGTGTATATATATTTCTACATTTATGAGTGCTTTGTTTTTGTTTATCTTTGTTCATTTTTGTTCTTGTTCTCTCAGTCGTATCTTGTTCTCTTGTTTACTCGTTGCCTTATGGAAGCACATTGCACATGCATAGAGCCACTGTACCGGAGGCAAATTCATCGTGCGTTCAAACTGATTCAGTCTGAATAAGAGCTGATTCTGAGAAGTGTGTAAAAATCTTATCATTTGAAAAACACTTATTCATACCAACAGGAAATTAACATTTGAGGGAAAACTCTAAATACAATGCAACTAGCTCCTTGGCCGGCTCACTGCATTATGTCAGGTGTAAAAGATATTTACCCCTGTGTTGCAGTGTTGCTCTCACACTTGATTCGGATCATGTAGACCCACAGTAGTCGATACAGGGACTCCAGGGCAACACGAGCCATTTTAGGGTCTCTACTCTGTGATAAAATGACATTTAAAGAAAAAAGTCAAGACAGAACCAACAACTGGCAGCCGAAAACTGAAATGACTGAAATCATTACTGCAACCACAAAAAACTTACATGAAATATTATATGCTGATAAGAATAGTCTCAATAATTACTGCCTGAAGCATTCATCACACTATTATTCTATCATGCATACAATGAAACAACAAACAGCAGTGTAGATTGTCTGAAAACTGAAGTGGTGGCAAGTGTTTTGCGCAACAGGGATACACACTTGATACATATAACCTTTATGTATCCAACGTGTACCCTATGACAAACAAAGACCAGGCAAGTCTGAATCAAGGGCAGCTGATTTCCAGATTACATTACCTTCAGATTTGACAGGCAGTTGTTGAGGAAGACATGCCATCTGCTGAGGAAGAACTGTTTCTGGCTGACACATAGCAGGCATGTCACCAAGGGGTAAAAAGCCTGCGTAGAGAACAGAGCGTTTAGATCTTCACTGAATTTTTTAAATAATGTGACACTCACAAATTGGTGAATACTTGTTCCATGTTTAAAATTTGAGGCTGTCCTTTCAGTGGATAAACTGAGGAATCATGCATTATCTCTGAATCATATCTACATAAGTTCAATTTAAGAAATAATGAGATTTTTTTTCCTTTTGTTATGCATTTTGTTGACAATGCATTGCTTATAAAATGTGGCTTTCAGCTGTAACTGCTGCCTCAAAGGAAAATAAACCTTCTGCAAACTGCTGTTCGATAAGGGTTGTTCACTGTGAACTGATGTGGTAAAATTCTTCATGCTAACCAGCGAGTGCTTCTTTCTGGAGGACAAGTCCAGGGTAGTGTCGTACAAGCTGTCCACATAGTTGCGCAAGCAAGGTACGTTCACCTCGTTCTTCACAGCCTAGGACATCACACACAGTCAAATGACAAGACATATTGCTCTCTAGAGTAATCCTATTCTCCTAGTTAATCTTATGTAATCAATGCACCATGCATAGGAGGAAAAAACTTACTGCTGCAACAGGAACCAAAATTTCAACAAAGAGACCTGCCAAGGCATGCTTAATGTCCTTATCCTTGACTCCC